GAAATATTGTTGACAGTATAGATAAATGTTTTAATTTCGTGAAAATTTGTTATTTTAAGAATTAATTTCTTAAATCTAAAGTTCTAAAGATTAAAAAAATTAATTTATATATATATATATATATATATATATATATATATATTAATTTTTTTAATCTCTCTTCGGTATTGTACCATTTCTATAAAATTAGAAATTTTATTGGTTATTTTGATTACGAGTAAAGTAAAATTTTTATTATAAACTATTTATATTATTCGAGCCTATACATATAGTAGTTGAATAATATTAAAAATTGTTCATTGTATTAAATACAAAGAATAAACTTTAAGAACAGCTTTATTAATCCATTTGGTTTTAGTGGGTGAGTTATTATCATAAAAATATCATGCTAATTTATTGAATATATTAGAGAACTTTAAGAACTACTAGGAAGGGTATGGTTTTAGAAAAATAAATTGTGTAGTAGAAATTGAATAGATTGGAGTTGGGAATGAGCCAAGTTGTGGTTGATTATGCCATTATGCTTTGGGATTGATATTTCTAAATGGCTTAGAATTTTGAAATAGTTTGTATGAATTTTATTAATACAATAATGATAAATCGATAATTTCTTAATACAATTTTATATTATTTGTATTTGTTGCTTTGTATTTTTATGAATTATGCAATTGGAATGGATTTCAAATTTAACGTAAATTAATAATAAAAGGGTGTACGTGTGATGAATAAACATATATTTAATATCAATTCAAGGCTTTTAGATTTGTAATATTAAAACGAGAATAAAAATTTTGTTTCTAAACATAAAATTTTTTTTATATAAGTTGTACTTTGTTATTTGTTAAAGGTACTTAACTTTTTTTTTCTAATATACATCGTAGTTTGTCATATATTTTTTTTTTATCTTGTTTTGTTATCACGAAGGATTATGAATTCTTTTTCCGGTATTTGCTTAGCAAAAATCACCCGGCTTGACCTACTTACAATGTAAATGTTCACATTAACGTTTAGCTGATTACAGAGATTAATTAATTCAAGTAAGATATATATGATTTTATATGGAAAACAGAAAGAAAAATGTTTTAGTCCAAATTTCAAAGTGAAGCGGCTGTAACGACAATGTGTTAGATCACATTTAAGGGTTATTAATTTAATTCTTTTAGTAAATTTGTTAATGTACATTGTTAATATTATGTATGGTAATATTACCGTCTTTGTAAAGTGAATATATATATATATATATATATAATATCATTGGAATTGTCATCTTATTTGTGAATTAGTAAGTATTTAGTTATTATTTTAGATTATAGTTGTTTAATAATTGTAAGATTTGGAACTAGTGATTACAAACTTAAGTAATTGTAAATTCAAAATAATTTTAGTTCAAGACTGTAAATGCATTGTAACAAATATGAAAATAGTGCATTGGGAATAAATAAGATTATCTTGAAATATATTGCATGAAATATTTGAAAATTAACGAGTGGAGAGATTAAGAAGATAATAAAATAATAATTTTTATAAAAATTTTAATAATATTTTTTAATACCAAATAAAGTGATATCCTTAAAGAAGAAATTATATTTATTACAAATATTATTCTTTAAACGAATTGTACATTGTTTTAATGCGTGATTCTTAACTTTTTTCATATAGAGTGTTATTATCTGCATAATACCATTATTGAAACTTATTCGAATTTTTAAAAAGATATTAATAGAAAAATGATATAAAAATTTTGAAAATGTAAATTGCTGTATTTTGCTGATTTTGCTCATGAATTTTGAATGGCGTTTGATATTTTTAAATTTTATATTCATCTAATTACATTTAAATCAGCACGTGATAAAAAAAAATTACATTAAATATTTTTATCATTATGAAGTGTTGCTCGTGTATATTTTTTTTTATCTTTTTAGCTATAATAAATAAGTGAAAGAGAATTGAAAAAAAAGGTGATTTTCTTGCTATCAGACTCAGTAGAACTATGTATCTTTTCAAATTTTTAACACAACCATATATTCGATACATTAGGTTGATGTAAGGATAAATTAAAAAAAAAAAAAGTAAAAAAAAAAAATTTAATCTAAAAGTTTATAGTAAAAATAAATCCTCACTTTTTTTTTTACTGCATTTACTAGATTAGATAAATGAAAGATGTAATTATTCAGGCAGTATTGTATATGTGTCGGTATTCTAAATATAAAAATGTAATTCATATTTTCAGATGTTTGGAATATAATTGTATTTTAATTAAATATCATAATTTATTAAACGTATTATCGCGGCGTAATTGAAAGGGAATTTATAATTAATAATAATATCATTAGTTTTATTAAATATATAGTATTGTAAGGATGCAATAAGAGTTCTGGCTTTTTGTCACAGTAATTAAATTTAAGTACCAAATCGATGAAATTTATGATAATACCGAGTTGTGGCATTGTTGAGTTATAAAACGAGAAACTTCTTTGTGGTCGTTCTTCGACCAATGAAAAAAAAAAAAAAAAAAAAAAAAAAAAATTTAGTTATATGGCACATAAGGGGTACTCGCGATTTTAAGTCGCCGTGAGACCGGACGCTACTTTATCATACTCACTACTTTCATCGTCTTTTAGAACACCAGATTATACTATCTGGCTCACCCAATATACTTATCCCCCCATTCATCATGTTGCACCTTTTATGTGTATAATTATAATCTAATAAGCAAAAATTGATATCCACGTAGAGGAAATTGTTTATGAAAATATTAAGTTTGCTATAAATACGAAGAATAATTTATTTTAATTTAGTGAAAAATTATTATTTATAAGCTCTAAATTAATGCATTACTTATTTGAGTAATGATGCTCGCGATAATATTGTATTTAAATTTTATTTTTCTTTATATGTATTTATTTCAAAATCCATTGCAGAGATTCATTAAAAAGAAAATTAATGATGTTTAAGTTAAAGTTAAACTTTCATTCTCATGTGACCGAGATATGCAATACTACACTCTATAGATCTACTATGAAATCTGTAATCATTGTCAAAGATTTGTTTTTATCAAGCAACTCGCTCTACCGCCCCTCTTTCCAAATTTTTTTTTTTTTTTTTTTTTTTTTTTTTTATTTCTACGAAACGTATAATGAGAAAAGCCTAGCTTGTGCTGGAATCTTGGAATTTTCGTTTGAATACTCGAGAACACTTCCTCGTAAACAAGATCGGATATTGAGGTCGAAGCTAGCTTTGTGGAAAACTTATGACCATACACACATGCATCTCTATCTATTCATTTTGTATTCAGGTTGTGCGGAAATGTGAAAATAGGTCTTTTCTTTTCTTTTCTTTGCTCCCATTGGTATTCTTAGCCGTGATTTTTCGGTATTATTACAGAAGAAATATTAACATTTATGAAAGGCTTATTCTTATGGTATCCAGGTTTCTTCGATAGAAAACTGATTTTACTTGGCGCATTATTTATTTCTTTATAACAGGACGATGTGATTTTTAAATTTTTATGAAACTTTCCGCTCCTTTTGAATTTCTCGTTAGCATTCTCCTATCATTCGTATTTCATTCTCTACTCATTCGTATAATTATATTTGATTTCGAAGTCGAATTGAGCGAACAATTTTTCAGATTTGAATGCCTCATAAAAAAAAAAAGACAATATTATGCAAGTCAATAATTATAATAATATGTTTTACCCTTTGTAAATACATGACGCATTACTTTACAATGGATTGGCGATATCTTACGGCGATATCAATTACTTAGATAATTCATAAGAAAATGAATGAATCTAATTTGAATATGGAGAACTATAGACGAATAAGTATTGTAGATTAATAGATAATTGTGGAATTATTTATTATTTATCAATTTCTTTAGTCTAAAGTTCTTGTTTAAAACGTCGGTATATCAAATTTATTTATTATTCGAGTCGTATAATTGATTTCTTTTGTTAATCCCTAAATTATACATTGCTATATGACAGCTATTAATATCATTTGTATTTTGTTAGGTAATTATTTTGGCATTTATTAGAAGCATTATATCCTTCTTAACGTTTCATTTTCAAAATTCAAATTTTTCATTACCGTCTTGCTTTATAGGGATCACGTGTTTATTTTATTTAAATTTTGGCTCTTACTTTTGACGAAGTCTTTAAATTAAAAAAAAAAAAAAAAAAAAAAAAAAAAAAAAA